ATGACAGGACATGGAATGAGGGGCAGCCGGAGGCCATTCTTTGGGATGCTGATAGGGAGGGAGTAGGGTGGCTTTCTGCAGTGGAGATGCTTGCCCTTGCTATCTCCTCTGTCGACTGTGGGCTCGTTGCTGGTTCTCAAAACTCCTGGTGTCCTGGTCCCTGGTCCCGATGGACCTGGGCAGCTTCCTCCGGTGACACTAGCAGCTTGACCCCCACTCCCAGTCTCAGGATCATGGCAGCAGACCATCTTTCATCCAGCTATCCCTCTTTCGGTTAGTGGCAGTACCTCTTGTGCCTTGCACGCCTCCCAGTCCAGTGTCCACCCAACAGTCTTCCTTTCCTGTGTCTCTCTCCTTCTTAAATCTCATTCCTGCTATGGCTCTGCTTGTGGCCTCAAGGGCATCGTCTGCCTCTCCCTCACCGGCACCCCAGTTCACAGGTGAAGTACGGGCCAGGAATCCTGCCCATATTCTTGGGGAGGTGGACAGCCTATTCTTGCAAGCAGGGGAACACTCACTGGCCCCACAATCTGAGACTGAGAAGAGGCATTTTACTGCAGGTGCTGCTAAAGCATTGTTCCAGAGCAGTCATGGACGGATCCGTGTACTGTGGTGCCATACTCAAAGCCACAGCCATGCCATTGTTCCAATGAGATATGTTATTATCAATAAATAAATTACAAAGAAATAAGCTTATAACTCCCCTGAAACCTCAGGGTCACAGCTTGAGGGTATCATAGAGTTCAGCCTTGAGCCAACTACATATATTCTTGAGATGTCCAAGCTGTCCACAGTGACACATGCCTTAGTTATATCCCGGTTGGATTCCTGTATTGCATTCTGTGTGGGGTGGTGTTCAGAAACTCCATTGGATCCAAGATACTGTGGCCAGGCCAGAACCAGCTGCTAGGAGAAAATTTCCTTTTAATGATAGCTTCCTGGTTACCAGTCAGTTTCCAACAGTATTTCGGTTGTGGTCTATCTGCAGTTCAAAAGCATGTAAAAATGCAAGTAGAGAAATAGGTGTTACATACAGCACTGATGTTACCTGTCTGTCATGGGTTTGGAGGGAAAGTTCCATCCTATGGGGAGTGGAAGGCGGGACATCAGGAGGAGGGGCTGTACTGTATAAATATGTGATGCCTGTGTGGTGAAGGGAGATGCTGAGACAGACAGTGAGACACTGGGTTGGGACGAAGCAGCAGCTGGGGAAGAAGAAGCTGTTGTGGGAGTCTGGGTGTCTGACAGGGTACTACTGTGTGTCAGAGTACCAGCCTGAAAGGTTCAGGGGTCTGTTGGTTAGCCAGAACTGATGGGTTCAGGGTCTGTGCTTTAAGTTAAAGGTTCTAGGTGAACCAAACTGTATGCTTGTGTGTGTGAGAATAAGCCACGTTACTTTATTTTATTCACCTGATTGTTTTATTTACCCTGTTTGTATTTAAAATAAACCTTATTCTTTTATTGTTTAAAAATCCATCCCTGGTCTGTGTGACTTATTATAGGGAATGGTTGGTGGCAGCTTAGTAACTGTGTGATAGATCCCAGTAGGTCTGGGTTTGTCACAATAGGTACCACCTTGGTGGGAAGGTAATGGAGTTCCGTGTCTAGTTGTGCTGGCCATGTGACCACAGAGACTGTCTTCGGACAAACACTGGCTCTATGGCTTGGAAATGGGGATGAGCACCACGCCCTAGAGTTGGACACAGCTGGGCTAAATGTCAAGGGGAACCTTTACCTTCTAGTACCCAGGAATGGCTCAGAGTTGTGGCACATGAATGGCAATGTTATTATTGATTCTTAGACTGATTCAGTTAGACATTTTGGTGACAGAGTGGTAGCTGTTATGTCATGGAAACTGAGTGGAAATGATAATGGCAGGCTGCAAGTTCTGTTAGGATTTAGATTATTAATGTTTTATAGTGTTCCCTTGCAGGAGGATTAATCTGCTTCATTTTGTGTGTGAGGAAGGAGGTGTAGCAGCAAATGTGTAAAATAAGCCGTGATGGCCTTAATTAACAGTGCATTACTTACGATTGAGAGGTGGGAGTGCTATAAAGGGGAAAAGGAACAATTTGCATTCTCTTACTGTTAACAACTCCATGTGCCACCTAACCAAAGAGAAAAAAGAAATGGAAATATGTTCTTGTGAACTATAAAGTGAAGGTTTGTCCACACACTGTTTTCACTGTGCTCTCTGGTATAAATGTTTTTACTTTAGTTTTTCTTTTTCATTTCCTTTCTTCTCTTTTCTTGTGATCTCTTTCCAGATAGATGTTGCCCTCTGCTTCTAAATTATCCTAGACGCTGCATAGAAAGAGGCTTTCAGCCTCTAAATATCTAAATCCAGTAATCACCTGTTTCAGCAGATCATTTCCCCCCAAGCTACAGCACAAGCTGCTTTTAGGAGCGCCTGTGTGATGGGAGTGGGAATGAAACTGGTTTGTGATAGTTGGTTGCCTCCCCAAGAACAAATGCAGAACCACAGAGGGATGTGTGCGAGTGTGCAGCTCCCTTCACACTTGAAGCAAGTTTGGCATTGTGAGAATGAGCTTCTAGTTTTGCCACTTATCCTTAACTCTTCCTCTCCATACAAGAAGGAGCAATCCAGGCATTTATTATAGGGAGATTTACAGTGTGAAAGGAATCTGACCAGCTCGGTCAATTTGATTGTCCCTGTTATGGGGGCCTACCTAACTTTTGAGGTTGAATAAGAAATTTCTGATCCAAATTGTCTTCATTCTAATTTCAAAATCTGGCTCATTAGTGTTGTGAGCAATTTAATTCAGTGCTTGTTCTGTGAATTCTTACTGCACTGTATAACTGTAAAGCTAGCTCATTGCTTCAGACAGAAAGAGCATCCAGTTAGAAGAGAAGGCGCTTGCTCCCACAAATAGCTGTAAAATGTACATAAAACAATGGATTTGAGCCAGAATCTGACATGTTATCTGTGAGTAATGTGCAACTGTCCATAGATGAGGGAACACTGCAGTAGAGAAATAAGAGCTGCTGGAGTCATGTTATTGGCATAATCATTGACTTAAAATTAATTGATGGTGCTGTATCTTTATTACATTGAAAGGGCTGTGTAAGGATAATATCCATCTGGAGAGCGAAGGACTGATTTCCCTCCTCCTCTGCCTGCAAATATGTTTAGATCAGGAAAAGCAATTTATTTAGATCCTTAAAAGCATGCAAGCATTTGTGTGTGTGTGTGTTTGTGTGTGTGTGTGTGTGTTTGGATAACAGGATCTTGGCTGATGAATTTGGTTTTTTTTTAAGATGAGGTTTTCAGTTAGGTTATCTACATACTGTTTGTGAATTCTATTGAGGTTTTAAGAATGGTAGATATTTTTCATTGTGCCATAGCTTGTCCAAATCCATTGTTATAACTCATCTAAACATAGCTTCTCTATGTCCCCCCCCCCAGCCCTGGGAAAAACACACACACACACATATGCACAGGCTGTGACAAAGATATACAAATACTGTGACCATCTTGAATATAATGAATAAATCTTGATCTGCCAAATTTATCATGTTAAAAGCTTTTTGTTCTGGGATGCCTGTTCATCATATACACTTGGAGGCTTGACTAATTGTGTTAAAACAGATTTCTACCATGCTCTTCCTAGTTTTTCTTCTGAATGTTAAACAGCTCAGTGTTAATGACAATATGCCTGTGGTTACATGGGACAGTAGTGCTGCATACATTATTTTGGCACTGGGATTAAGAATTTGCTTTCCTCTTCCTGTATTGGGCCTTCTATATTGTTTGATTTGAAGGAGTCAGTCCATGAAGGCCAAACCATGACAAATAGATTGATAATATCTAGATTTGCCCTAAGAAAGTACTATAGGTAAGATTGTGGATTAATAATCATTGTGTGTTGTACCAAGTCAGTTCTGACTTACGGCAACTATTTTCACAGTTTTCTTGGTAGAGAGTACTCAGAAGTGGTTCACCATTCCCATTTTTCTGGGCATACTCTGATATTGTGCAATTTACCCAAAGTTACACAGACTGGATCTTCTCAGGGGATGTCTGCTGAGGAATAAAACTCCAGACTTCTGATTCTGCAGCCAGATGCCTAGCTATCCAGCCAGTTTAGGACTATGGATCACTTAGATACAAATGATTCTGGCTTGCCGTTATGACATTTAAAATATAAACAGGGTAGTGGGTGGATTGATTGATTGATTGATTGATTGATTGATTGATTGATTGATTGATTGATTGATTGATTGATTGATTGATTGATTGATTGTTGATTGATTGATTGATTGATTGATTGATTGATTGATTGATTGATTGATTGATTGATTGATTGATTGATTGATTGATTGATTGATTGATTGATTGAAATTATCTTCTATTTTGGTGGTCAGATATTCAAAAGCCCCAGCTATTTTGCAACATGTTGATATAAGGGAAAGGGACAATGCATGGCATGTCTTTAATGTCACTTGAGGTTCATTAGCCTGTTTACTAAAATGACAGAGCCATTACGAGGTCTAATTTTGTGTCCAGGGGGAAGATTGGTTAGGGCAATGGTGCCTAAATTCCCTGATAAGAAGTTTGGAGATCATATGAAACAGATGAATGTGGACAAGAGATAGACAGAGACCTGAAACTTCACAGCTGCAGTACACACTGAAAACAAATGTTCTCCTGAAGATATGAATAAAATCAATACCATACTGTATTTAGATAATACAGTATGAATTGATACTTTGGTCTATATGTGCATCAGAAACAATCCTAGCTTTACTTTGGTTTCTAGGAAATACCAGATCTGAACTTCAATATTTTTTTAATCAGTCAGGCATTAAAAATAAGAAACTAACAGGAATTTTGTCAGACAACAGAAATAATAAATCAAACAAACAAATAAATAAATATGGAACATAATCTGATGTCTACTTATTTATTGCCTAATTTAAAATAATATCTAATCTTTGTGTGTTTTTCTTTCTCCATTTATTTTTCCATTTATCTCCAGTGGCAGATGAAAGCAACGTTAGTTTATTGACTGGGAGCAAACTAGGTAAGAGATTCTTGTTTGGCCTTACTTTGATTATACTGTGCAAATGAAACAGCTAGTGCTGATGCACATACTATCTGGTTTACAGAAATGTAATTTAACAATTATTGTGGCAGACCTTTCATAATTAATCCAAGATGTAGTTCCTGGACTGTGCACAGAAAAGAATGTATGATTTGTCTGTTTCTTAGCATTTCAAAGAAAATTGGATCATTTGCTCTTGTGCCAAAACCGATTGTAAAAATAATCTGGTCTAAATCCAAGTGTGTCTAGAGAGAAGTGGGAAACCTAGGTGTCCTATTACATATTTGTTTCACTGCCATACCTACGGCACGCTTCGAAGTCAGGGGAGTACACAGGACTTTCGGTTTTTTAACCATACCATATTGACAGACATGGCAGCTTGTCAGCTTGAGAGAACTGATGGGACCTAGTATTTTAAAACAGTTACTCTGAATTGCTTGCTCTCATTGTGAGCGAGTGCCCAACTATACACACAAACACACATATCGCTTACATTACTACATGTGAACAGGATGTCACAATAGCAACTGTGTGGCCTAAATGCCATTTGCTGAATTCCAGGAACACTATAGGTTTCTTTTGTCCTCAAATGTGGTTTCCCTGCCATTGGGATTCTGACCATATTGGACACAGACGCTCCTACTTAAAATACTACACACACTTGATTATAGTGGTTCCCAACTCATTCTTTCATTAAAACTGTACTCAGAAAGCTCAGTTATCAAGCATAGGCTGCATCACTAGGCTTTCTACTATGAATCTCAGGTTCAAAAATCCTAATACCAAACCTAGGCTATACCTCTGATTAAAGCTGGTTCCCTTTGTAAGGTCTCCTTATCTGGTAGTAAGTTGTAAAAACTGAGGGAATAATAACATAATATACTTCTCGTTTGAATTACGTGGGTCTGATTAACACAGTCTTGGTTAGACAGAGATTTTTTCCCCAATCAATTAATAAATTAATATTCCAATAAATAAATTAATATTCAATAAATATTCAATAAATACTGTGTCCCTGGCCAACCAGATCCCCATGAGTTCAGTAGTGAAGGCATTGAAATACTACATCTCTAATTCATCCTATAGATTAGGGGGTCATAAGGACCTTTAAGGCTCATTACACACGGTACTGTATGGAAAGGATTGTCAATGCTATGGAAGAGAACCCCGACAGAGCGAACTGGGATGTGTGGGTGTGGGTGAATTAACTATTTATGCTTTGTAGTTATGTTTTGGAGGGCATAAGAGTTATACATGGAACTACATGGGGGTCCAGTGCCCCTAACCCCAGTGTTGTAGAAGGGAGAAGTGTACAGAACATACAGATGTACAAGCAAAGTTTCATACTGGAAGTCTGAAGACTAAGCTTGGCGAATGTGCAAAGAACTGCAAATAAGGCTTCTTTCATCCTTTCACCAAGTGCTGAGCCCCGGACTGGGTACCTAAGCCTTTGAAGTACTTTTCTGGGCGGGGAAAACATTTGAGGGCTGTTAAGCATGTCTTCTGAGCTGCGGATCTGTTCTTGTTATATATTGTAGAATATCTATGGGACACCACAGAATAATTTATGGAAATGCAGAATTTGATTCTGAATCTTTCTTGAATGGAAACTGGATGATAGCTGCTTATGTCAGTATCTTAGCTGAATTTTAACCTGAGTTCCAGTTCACTTTATCCATGTGTTGTGCAGAGGAAAAAAAATTCAGTGTTGACAGTATTTACTTCCCTCTCCATCTTCTTTACTTTTCCCCTTTTGAGTAGTTAATATGGTTTGGATGCAAGCTGATCATGTAACATAGCAAATGGTCCTGTGGCTTATTTAACCCTTCTACTGACTAGAACCTTGTCCGTAGCCAGAACAACCTTTGATTGTGTTAGGAGAGAGGCTAGCATGTTGGGAATACATTCCTGTGTTCTGTTCAGGAAACTGGTTGATTTATTTTCATAAAGATTATAATTTGTGCCAAGAAAGAATTAGAAGAACATTTTTAGGATTTTTCACTACAGAAACAACAGTCTTCTGGATCGAGGTATATGAAATATCCCTGTCTTAAATAAACCCTTAGCTGTAGGTTGAATGGAAATTAGAAAACTGTAGCCTTCCATGCTATGACATTTATGAATCTTAATAATTAGCATGATAACTCCCTATATTATTTAATTAATATACCACCTCATTAGTGCAAAGCACTATTCTGGGCAGTTTACAAGATAAAACAGTGAATGACACTTTACCACATGCATGGCATTTAATCTTTTTATTCTTGAAACTCTCTTTAGTTCAAGGAAGATTTCCTTTCTCTTCCGCTCCACTCTTTCCTTCTGTCTCATAAAGACATTTTGCTATTTGAGATTGAGGATCTCAGCTGATATCTTCCCTCTTTCTTGCACCTGAAACTTCTCCTCTGTACCTACTGAGGAGACAACTCGGACAAAGAAAAGCTTTTCAGGAAGTGACTCATCATTTGGAAAGGAGTGCCTTGTTTTTAACTCAGAAGGAGGTCTCCAGACATTGCAGATACAGTTGGTTTGCCAAAGACAAATGAAAGCCCTTCTTGTCAATTCACTTTGGAACAGTGCCTGTTTCTGTCGCAAGAGTCGGCAAAGAATTGCTCGGCAAGTTAACAAAATTACCTTTTCAAGTTCTCTCTCTGTCATTATGTGTGTGTGTTGTCCAGAAGCATGAGAAACAAATATACCAACCCTGAATTCTGGTAATCTGTGCAAAAAATAATAATCAGTGAAAAGTATCAGTATCAGGGCCGGCTGTGAGTTCTTTCTCATTCATAATTCTCCCTCTCTCTCTCTCATTCTCTCTTTCTGACTCTCCCCATCTTACCTCCCCACCCAGAGGCACATACAGGTAGAGGCTTTTGAGAAAGGGATGTTTCGTCTTCTTGCTTTGTACCTTCTTTCTAAGTCTATACTTTCAATGTTGATGATGTACCAGTATTACTAGGCCATCAGCAGCAGCTGAGGGCTAAGACTGAGACATTCTTGTTCAATACGAACTGGTTTAGAGAGTTTGTATCATAAGGTAAGATCTGTCCCAGTATCTGCCTGGTTCTCATGATCTGAACGGCAGAGAAACTAACTACCCTTTCCCCAGTGCACATTCTAGCCTACTGTGTTCTCCTCCGCTTCATTTGTAAGGACAAGAAAGGCAGTGGAGATTGTGATTCTCTTTTTAGCAGCTCTTCACTGAGTCTTTTGGATCACTTGCATTTTTACTCCCAGACTCAAAGCATATGTAACTCCCAAAGAGGCCTGGGATGTGGTAGGCAGCCTGGTGTTAGCCTAAGAAAGAATCAGCTCTTCACCAGAATTTGAATATTTACTTTTATAATTAATTAAAGCACATGCACTTTGCTCTTTAACCACAAAGGCACCAAAAATGGCTTAGACAGAATCAATACAATTAAGAGAGTCCCTAGCCTGACACTTGGAGTCTACAAAGTAACAGATAAGGAAAAGAATCAGAAGGGGGAAAGGAAAATGAAATTTCCAAAGTTCTGACACTGACCAGCTTGAAAATGGAAATAACTGAAGGAAAGGAATTGCCATGGATTATTTTTTTTAATTTAGTACATTTGTAATCCATCTTTCTACTAACAAATGCCCTGGATCCATTCCAGTTGGGCTTCAGGCCGCGCCACGGTACGGAAACAGCATTGGCCACCCTGTTTGATGACCTGCTGAGGGAGGCCGACAGGAGCAAAATATCTTTGTTGGTCCTCCTCGATATCTCAGCCACCTTGGATACCATTGACCACTGTATCCTCCTGGGGAGGCTCTCAAGCTGGGAATCAGTGGTCTGGAGGTTTCCTGGCTCCGATCCTTCTTGGAGGACTGTCCTCAGAGAGTACAGCTTGGGGAGAGGGTTTCAGCTCTGTGGAGTCTCAATTGTGTGGTTCCTCAGGGCTCGATTACCTCCCCAATGCTGTTTAATATCTATATTAGGCTGCTGGGTGGGGTCATCAGGGGTGTAGGGCTTTGTGCCATCAGTACACTGATGATACCCAGCTCTACATCTCCTTTTCTCCAAACACAGTGGATGCCGTTTCGTCCCTTCAGCGCTGCCTGGAGGCTGCACTGCAATGGACAAGATGGAGGTCCTGAGGGTGGGTGGCCCCTCCATTGGTGGTTTGGGAAACTCCCTCTCTTTTGGGGGAGTGACTCTCACCACGAAGAATGAGGTTTGCAGCTTGGCGGTCCATTTGGATCTGGCGCTCACCATGGAAACCCAGGTGGCATCAGTGGTCCGCTCTGCCTATTTCCATCTCTGGCGAATTGTCCAGCTGCGTCCCTATCTAGATGTCGGGGCACTCACCTCTCTGGTCCATGTGCTTGTAGTCTCAAGATTAAACTACTATAATATGCTCTACGTGGGGCTACCTTTGAGATTGGTACGGATGCTTCAAATGGTGCAGAATGCAGCAGCCAGACTTCTCAGTGGGACGAGAAAATGTCAGCATATCCCCCCCCCCACCTCTGGCTGCCTTGCATTGCCTGCCCATTCATTTCCGCATTGATGTCAAAGTGTTAATGATGACATATAAAGCCCTAAATGGTTTAGAACCTCGATATCTAGTGGAACGCCTCCTCCCACCTAGATCTACCCGAATCACTTGTTCTAGCCAGGAAGAGTGGCTGAGGGGCCGAATGCTGAGGGAGGCCCGGAGGGAAAGAACAAGAAACTGTGCCTTCTCGGCAGTGGCCCCTCACCTTTGGAACAGTCTGCCCCCAGAAATTTGTCTGGCTCCCTGGACAGAAGTCCGTCTGGGTGTTTTTAAGAGCAAACTTAAGACCTGGCTCTTTAGGCAGGCTTTCCCTCCCATCATCACTTGAATAATTTTTTTCATATTTTGGACCATATTACTGCTGGTTTTTTTTTATTATATGTTTTTATTATCTCTATTATTGTTAGCCGCACAGAGTAGACTTTGGTCTAGATGGGCAGAGTATAAATAGAATGAATG